CTCCTTAGAGGTCTTCATTTAGCCACTGTGGTTAAATAGCTTGCAGGTGTCAGTAATAACTCCAGGTCGTTTCCACACAGTTTTGAAGTGAATACTTTATTAGGACAAATTTATCCTCTAGTGGGAAAGCTAAAATAAAGAGGCCATCAAGCTAAAATTAGAAAGAGCAATTTAACAAAATAATAATTACCTCTTAGAATTAAGGATGTAAGAGAGGAATTCTTATAGAAAAGCATAAAGTTCCAAATTAGGCCCTGCCCTACAACTCATTTTTTTCGGAAAAAAAATTACAATTAAAAAATTTTTTAAGAGAAAGGAAAAATTAAAGACCAATAGGAATCTCCATTATATTGTAAAATATTCATCCATTAGGAATTTGTTACCCTTTAAGATATGTAAAGTATGTTCTAAAATGTCTCATCTTATTCTAACAAATATCCTATTTAGGGAAGCAGGGCAAAAGATTATTAATTCTACTTTTTATAGACATATTATTTCCAGCACATGATACAGTGTGAAGTTCTCAGTGTTTATTGAATTGAATTGAATCATTAGATGAGAAAGCTGAATCAAAGAACCATTAAATATTAACCAAGTCTTCATCAATTGATCAAGATAGAAGTGCATCAAAAATCCAAGTCTAATCCAGAATACTTTCCCTAAAAGCAAGTTTACTCCCATATAATTTGGAAATTAAAGGTCATTCTTTTAGCCAGTAGTCCTCAGGCTTGGTGCACCTAAGGACCATATGGATGCTTTTAACTATATCCAGGGTACCAACCAAAGATTGTGATTCAATAGAGCTGAGGTGGAACCAGATTCTAACAAGCATCACCTACCAGAAAACACATGTAACTGCAAAATATGTAATTAATCCAATTAACAGTGATTGTCAAAACAGCAAATACCATTGGCTAAGTCTGAGAAAAGTGAAATATGTAATTTAAAAAAGTAAAATGACTCATGTCCCCAATAAATATTTGTTGAATGTATGAATCCATTAGTCAACAGTATAAAATTAACACCAAACTGGTTTACAACATTTAGCATAATATACAAAGAGGAAAATTTTAGATTCTGTGATTTTACTGGTCAACTTTCTCAGTTTGAACTTTTTGGCCAACCCAATAAAAGGAATTGAAGGTTGCAGAGCTGTGTACAGGTAGGGAGAATGCACAGAATGCCTTGAGTAGTAAGATGGGCAAAGAATTCTGAGAATGAAGAAACAGTCCTTCCCTAAGGCATTAGATTTGTAACTAGGCAACAAATAAAATATGATTACTTCTAGCCAGCCCAAAATGCAGCTCCCACCAGAAAAGTGCTTGCTTAAAAATGCCTTTCAAAAGTCTAACCTCTAGACAATTTTGGTGTTCAACTCATCTTATAATTTATGTCTTATAATTAACACACACATGTATGTGTATATATACATATATGTACATATACATATATACATATAATTACATGTATATGATACACATTAATGTATGGCATTTTAAGAACATGTATAATTTGATAATTCTATATAAAACCCAATACTAATCATTATTAGTTGTAAAGTTACAACCTCATGCTATTTTCATTACCAAAAAAGCATTTGTAATGGCTAAAATCAAAATACTGACAATAACCAATGCTTGTGAGAATAGGAAACTCTCATTCTTTGCTGACAAGTATGCAAATGGTACAGCCACTTTGGAAGGCAGTTTGGCAGTTTCTGACAAAACTAAATGTACTGTTACCGTAAGAATTACACTCTTAGGTATTTACTCAAATGGGGTGAAAACTTACGTCCACACAAAAACCTTCACATGAATGTTTATAGCAGCTTTATTCATAATTGCCAAAAATAGAAGCAACTAAGATGTTCTTTAATAGGTGGACGAATAAACACACTGAAGTACATCCATAAAGTGGAATATTATTCAGTGGTTAAAAGCAAAAAGAGCTATCAAGTCACAAAAAGATGTGGAGGAAACTTAAATACATACTGCTAAGTGAAACAAGTTACTCTGAAAAGTCTACATAGTATATGATTCCAGCTACATACTGTAGGATTCCAACTGTATGACATTCTGGAAAAGGCAAAACCACAGAGACAGTAAAAAAAAAAAAAAAAATCAGTGGTTGCCAGGGGTTGGGAGTAGGGAGGGAGGGATGAATTCTCAGAGCACCGATTTTTAGGTTAGTGAAACTATTTTGTATGAGGCTTTGGTGGACACATGCTATTATGCATTTTTCAAAATCCATAGAACTGTACAGTACAAATAGTAAACCCTAATGTAAACTATGGACTTTACTTAATAATAATATATTAATATCAGTTCATCAACTATAACAAATATACCCGATTAATGCAAGAAGTTAATAAGAGAGAAGACTAAGGAAGGGGGATATACAGGAACTTTCTGTACCCTCTGCTCAATTTTTCTGTAAACCTAAAACTGTTCTCAAAACCAAAACCTAATTAAAAAAAAAAAAAACATATGTAGGTAATATTAATGCTAGCACTGGAAACATTTTTTCTAATTTGTAACATACTGACAAAATAGTTGTTAAACTAAACCTATTAACTATGTATTTGTCACTCCTATATCATGAAACTTAAAATTCTTTAACTATTTAGCATATTCTAAAAGCTATTTAATTCACATTCTGTCATATAGAACTAAATTAATAAGCCCTGCTATAATTGGATGTCTGAAGAATTTTTTTCAATTCTTTTCCCAAATGAAATGTTCATATCATATTGGTCCATCTCTGATTTTCACTATAGTTTTTACTAGCAAAAAAATAATAAATATTTTGCCTATGATGCATTGTTATGTAACTGAATGCAGAAGTTGCTACCTTAACGTATGAGATGACTAGTTCTAGCTACTGAAAGCCTTGTGCAATTTTTCTCAAACTTCGATATGTGTGGGAGTCAACTGGGGATCATTTTTAAAAACCGATTCTGATTTAATTGGTTTGAGGTGGCACCTGGTAATCTGCATTTCCAACAATCTTCTAGGTAATGCTGATGCAGGACTACAGTTTGAATAGCAAGGTCCTAGAGTATATCTAGGCTATAAGATAATTACCACTGTGAAACTCAAACCCAAATCCCTAGCAGTTCTTGCAAGGGACTAAACAGCTGCTTTTTTTGGTTCTCCCACCTGGAAAAGCTCTCAGGGCTTCCAGCACTTGTAAATTTTCTTTCCCAATATATAATCCTCTTCAATTTTATCTGTAAAGAGGAAGACCTGATAACCTTTGTACAGTAAGCAAGCTACCCATTTAGTCATAATACTCTCCTAGCTTGTATGAGCCAGAGATCATTTATTTCTAGTTCAATTCCTCTATTTATATGTCTTCAAGCACAGAAAGGTCAAGTGACTGGCTCAGGGTCACTTGTCCAATAACTTAGAGGTCAGGTCTCAAATCCAGGTCTCTGATTCCAAATCCAATCCCTTTCCCTCATTCTCTGCTGCTTCTAATAGTGATGCACTTCAGAGAAGAGGGACCAGTTTGTTTAGACCACAAAATCCCAGTTCTAAATTGAATCCCTCAGCCTCCAGCTTCCCATAAACCTTAAACATAGGTTTAAGGTCTTACAGAAACTGAGTCTTGAAGGAGGAATAGGATATTGATCAGAGGGAGGGGAAGAGGGGAATGGCGAATGTCCTAGCGTGAGTAATGAATATATAAGCCATGAATACTAGAGTGATGATTAAGACCATGATGTTAAGAATGAGTAAGGCAAAATTGGATATGTCAGACAGAGCCAGATTTCCAATCATCAGCAAAAAATGTAGAGTGCATCCTGGCTCTGAGACTTTGAGAATATTGTGTACTTTTCTGGAGACCTGCAATGGTAAGGAATTTGTGGAATTTCTGTAGAAGCCTGTTATAATACACATAATACAGCCTACTGTGATACCTACACTGCTTGTAACTGTCTCTAAGGGCTCAGATCACCAACAAGGGACTGAGAAGCTCCTGATTTTTGTCAGGCTGAGTCCAAAGTCACCACAGCTGATTCTTCCTTATTGTAGCATCACTGCTCAGCCTTCACACATGAATATCTCAAAACATCTCTGGAAAGACAGAGATGGGAGCCCAGAATCTTGGCTTCCTTGACATTTACCTAATCACCTGAAGAGAATATTACTTATTGGCAAAGCTTTGTGACATAGTGTCAGAGCAGCATCCAGAGGAAGACAGTCTGGCAACCCCACTTGAGCCCCCCAATCAAGGGCTGCTTTCATAGAGCACACACATTTACAGAGGAATCCCTTCTTGAAATGAGAATAGAATTTTCATAATGCGATGCTGTCCAGTGTTTAGTGGCAAGGACTGCACCCAAGGTCATATCATCCTAACTTTTTTTTTCCTGTGCTGCAGGGCTCTAGGGTGGAGAGTGTAAGAGTATACAAAGGCAGACTTTTACTGTTAGAAATCCTTTGAAGGATAGTAATGTTGAGCCATACTTCTAAGAAGAAATCATCACAGGTGGACATATTTTGTTTAACTTCAGGTTAAATAAGAACAAGCATAAAAGACAGATATGCAGATAGCACACTTGTTGAACTTTCAAAGATTTTCACACTAAAAATGCTGACATGTGAGGAGGAAACTGGCTTATAGATAGGGCAGAGTGGGCAGTTTTCTGGGTATCATCTCTGAACCGAATCAACAGAATAATGTCTAGCAAGCTTGAAGAATGCAGCTTTAGGACAAATGTGAAAGAAAGAGACACATATCAGTTCAATATAAAAGCAGCATTTTGCAAGTATGGCTGAACAACGATGAAAAGGGCCAACATGCCTGGGAGGATAGAAACACAGTCTAGGAGTCAGTGGGGAATGTGGTGTATTCAGTGGGAGAGAAGTAGCATTAGCCAATGGCCAGGGTTCTTTGTTACTCAAAGATTCTATCATTCTATTACAAACAAGAATAATGACTTGTATATTTTGCAACTAATGATAGTAAAAGCACAATGACTGTGGATGACTTACTGTGCTGACAGTGAATCCCATTAAATCCTCGGGGACATTTACAGACATAGCCTATGAATGTGTCCCCTCGGTATGCTTCACTTATTTCACAGGCTCCTCCATTATGGCACGGATTAGGAGTGCAGGGACCTGAAAGAAAAAGAATATTGCTGCATGATGCATATGCTTTAAAGTAGACATTGGGTCAACATTTTTCAATTAATAATTTTATAGAGGAAAGTGTTCTGGATATTAGTGCCATAGGAAATGTAGTAGTTGGGGGAGTTCTAGAGATTAATGGCCTGGGTTTGAATCCTGGTTTCATCACTTTCTAGCCATGTGGTCTTGGACAATTTATTTAACCTCTCCTTACCTCAGTCTCATCTTCTGTTGAATGCAATACTAATATAATCTACCACAAAGTGGGATGATAGAGATGAAAATAATTCATACAGGGCTTCCCTGGTGGCGCAGTGGTTGAGAGTCTGCCTGTCAATGCAGGGGACACGGGTTCGAGCCCTGGTCTGGGAAGATCCCACATGCCGCGGAGCAACTGGGCCCGTGAGCCACAACGACTGAGCCTGTGTGTCTGGAGCCTGTTCTCCACAAGAGAGGCCGCGATAATGAGAGGCCCTCGCACCGCGATGAAGAGTGGCCCCCGCTCGCCGCAACTAGAGAAAGCCCTCGCACAGAAACGAAGACTCAACACAGCCATAAATAAATAAATAAATAAATAAGGGGGGACGAGGGGAAGGTGGAGGAAGAGTAAGAGCGGAGATCACCTTCCTCCCCACAGATACACCAGAAATACATCTACACGTGGAACAACTCCTACAGAACACCTACTGAACGCTGGCAGAAGACCTCAGACCTCCCAAAAGGCAAGAAACTCCCCCACGTACCCGGGTAAGGCAAAAGAAAAAACAGAGACAAAAGAATAGGGACGGGACCTGCACCAGCGGGAGGGAGCTGTGAAGGAGGAAAGGTTTCCACACACTAGGAAGCCCCTTCGCGGGCGGAGACTGCGGGAGGCGGCGCGGGGAGCTTCGGAGCCGCGGAGGAGAGAGCAGCCACAGGGGTGCGGAGGGCAAAGCGGGGAGATTCCCGCACAGAGGATCGGCGCCGACCGGCACTCACCAGCCCGAGAGGCTTGTCTGCTCCCCCGCCGGGGTGGGCGGGGCTGGGACCTGAGGCTCGGGCTTTGGTCGCCGCACAGGGAGAGGACTGGGGTTGGGGGCGTCAACACAGCCTGAAGGGGTTAGAGCACCACGGCTAGCCGGGAGGGAGTCCGGGAAAAGGTCTGGAGCTGCCGAAGAGGCCAAGGAGAGGGGATTAAGAGCGCTGCTTAAAGGAGCTCCAGAGACGGGCGGGAGCCGCGGCTAAATGCGCGGACCCCAGAGACGGGCAGGAGACGCTAAGGCTGCTGCTGCCGCCGCCAAGAAGCCTCTGTGAGAGCACAGGTCACTATCCACACCTCCTATCCGGGGAGCCTGGGCAGCCCACCACTGCCGGGTTCCCGGGATCCAGGGACAACTCTCCGGGAAGAACGCACGGCGCGCCTCAGGCTGGTGCAACGTCACGCCGGCCTCTGCCGCCGCAGGCCCGCCCCGCACGCCGTGCCCCTCCCTCTCCCCGGCCCGAGTGAGCCAGAGCCCCCGAATCAGCGGCTCCTTTAACCCCGTCCTGCCTGAGCAAAAAACAGACGCCCTCCGGCGACCTACATGCAGAGGCGGGGCCAAATCCAAAGCTGAGCCTCTGGGAGCTATGAGAACAAAGAAGAGAAAAGGAAATCTCTCCCAGCAGCCTCAGGAGCTGCGGATCAAATCTCCACAATCAACTTGATGTCCCTGCATCTGTGGAATTCATGAATAGACAATGAATCATCCCAAATTGAGGAGGTGGACATTGAGAGCAAGATTTATGATTTTTTCCCCTTTTCCTCTTTTTGTGAGTGTGTATGTGTATGCTTCTGTGTGAGATTTTGTCTGTATAGCTTTGCTTCCACCACTGTCCTAAAGTTCTATCCATCCGTTTTTTATTTTTTTCTTAATAATTATTTTTTAATTTAATAACTATTATATTTTACTCTATTTTATCTTCCTTTCTTTCTTTTTTCCTTCCTTCCCTCCTTTCTTCCTTCCTTCCTTCCTCCCACCGTCCGTCCCTCCCTCCCTCCTTCTCCCTCCTTTCTTTCCTTCCTTCTTTTCTTCTTTCTTTTTTTCTTTCTTTCTTCCTTTTTTTCTTCCTACTCCTACTAATTCTTTCTCTCTAATTTTTCTCCCATTTATTCTGAGCCATGTGGAGGAAAGGCTCTTGGTGCTGCACCCAGGAGTCAGTGCTGTGCCTCTGAGGTGGGAGAGCCAACTTGAGGACACTGGTCAATAGAAGACCTCTGAGCTCCACATAATATCAAATGGCGAAAATCTCCCAGAGATCTCCATCTCAAAGCCAGCACCCAACTTCACTCAACGACCAGCAAGCTACAGTGCTGGACAACCTATGCCAAACAACTAGCAAAACAGGAACACAACCCCACCGATTAGCAGAGAGGCTGTCTAAAATCATAATAAGTCCACAGACACCTCAAAACACACCACCAGACGTGGACCTGCCCACCAAAAAGACAAGATCCAGCCTCATTCACCAGAACACAGGCACTAGTGTGCCTACACAACCCACTGAACCAACCTCAGCCACTGGGGGCAGACACCAAAAACAATGGGAACTATGAACCTGCAGCCTGTAAAAAGGAGACCCCAAACACAGTAAGATAAGCAAAATGAGAAGACAGAAAAACACACCGCAGATGAAGGAGCAAGATAAAAACCCACCAGACCTAACAAATGAGAGGAAATAGGCAGGCTACCTGAAAAAGAATTCAGAATAATGATAGTAAAGATGATCCAAAATCTTGGAAATAGAAGAGAAAACGCAAGAAACATTTAACAAGGACCTAGAAGAACTAAAGATGAAACAAACAATGATGAACAACACAATAAATGAAATTAAAAATACTCTAGATGGGATCAATAGCAGAATAACTGAGGCAGAAGAACGGATAAGTGACCTGGAAGATAAAATAGTGGAAATAACTACTGCAGAGCAGAATAAACAAAAAAGAATGAAAAGAACTGAGGACAGTCTCAGAGACCTCTGGGACAACATTAAACGCACCAACATTCGAATTATAGGGGTTCCAGAAGAAGAAGAGAAAAAGAAAGGGACTGAGAAAATATTTGAAGAGATTATAGTTGAAAACTTCCCTAATATGGGAAAGGAAATAGTTAATCAAGTCCAGGAAGCACAGAGAGTCCCATACAGGATAAATTCAAGGAGAAATACGCCAAGACACATATTAATCAAACTGTCAAAAACTAAATACAAAGAAAGCATATTAAAAGCAGCAAGGGAAAAACAACAAATAACACACAAGGGAATCCCCATAAGGTTAACAGCTGATCTCTCAGCAGAAACTCTACAAGCCAGAAGGGAGTGGCAGGACATACTGAAAGTGATGAAGGAGAAAAACCTGCAACCAAGATTACTCTACCCAGCAAGATCTCATTCAGATTTGATGGAGAAATTAAAACCTTTACAGACAAGCAAAAGTTGAGAGAGTTCGGCACCACCAAATCAGCTTTACAACAAATGCTAAAGGAACTTCTCTAGGCAAGAAACACAAGAGAAGGAAAAGACGTACAATAACGAACCCCAAACAATTTAGAATATGGGAATAGGAACATACATATCGATAATTACCTTAAATGTAAAAGGACTAAATGCTCCCACCAAAAGACACAGATTGGCTGAATGGATACAAAAACAAGACCCATATGTATGCTGTCTACAAGAGATCCACTTCAGACCTAGAGACACATACAGACTGAAAGTAAGGGGATGGAAAAAGATATTCCATGCAAATGGAAACCAAAAGAAAGCTGGAGTAGCAATTGTCATATCAGACAAAATCGACTTTAAAATAAAGACTATTACAAGAGAGAAAGAAGGACACTACATAATGATCAAGGGATCGATCCAAGAAGAAGATATAACAATTGTAAATATTTATGCACCCAACATAGGAGCACCTCAATACATAAGGCAAATACTAACAGCCATAAAAGGGGAAATCGACAGTAACACATTCATAGTAGGGGACTTTAACACCCCACTTTCACCAATGGACAGATCATCCAAAATGAAAATAAATAAGGAAACACAAGCTTTAAATGATACATTAAACAAGATGGACTTAATTGATATTTGTAGGACATTCCATCCAAAAACAACAGAATACACATTTTTCTCAAGTGCTCTTGGAACATTCTCCAGGATACATCATATCTTGGGTCACAAATCAAGTCTTGGTAAATTTAAGAAAATTGAAATTGTATCAAGTATCCTTTCCGACCACAGTGCTATGAGACTAGATATATCCTGTAATTGATATTACAGGAAAAGATCTGTAAAAAATACAAACACACAGAGGCTAAACAATACATTACTTAATAACGAAGTGGTCACTGAAGAAATCAAAGAGGAAATAAAATATACCTAGAAACAAATGACAATGGACACACGACGGCCTAAAACCTATGGGATGCAGCAAAAGCAGTTCTAACAGAGAAGTTTATAGGAATACAAGCCCACCTTAAGAAACAGGACACATCTCGAATAAACAACCTAACCTTGCACCTAAAGCAATTAGAGAAAGAAGAACAAAAAAACCCCTAAGTTAGCAGAAGGAAAGAAATCATAAAAATCAGATCAGAAATAAATGAAAAAGAGATGAAGGCAATGATAGCAAAGATCAATAAAACTAAAAGCTGGTTCTTTGAGAAGATAAACAAAATTGATAAACCATTAGCCAGACTGATCAAAAAAAAAAAAGGGAGAAGACTCAGATCAGTAGAATTAGAAATGAAAAAGGAGAAGTAACAACTGACACTGCAGAAATACAAAAGATCATGAGAGATTACTACAAGCAACTCTATGCCAATAAAATGGACAACCTGGAAGAAATGGACAAATTCTTAGAAATGCACAACCTGCCAAGACTGAATCAGGAAGAAATAGAAAACATGAACAGACCAATCACAAGCACTGAAATTGAAACTGTGATTAAAAATCTTCCAACAAACAAAAGCCCA